CTACTTCAACCAGAGAAGTCAGCCATAGCAGAGCACCTGATGAACCAACCTGGACACAGCATATTATTGGAGAACACAGAAATGCTGGACCACTCTCACAACCACCATGTCAGACTACACAGAGCATTATTTATTTATTTATTTATTTACTTCACTTGTATACAGGGCCGGCCCTAGGTAATTTTCAATGGTAAGCAAACATTATTTTGGCGCCCCCTCCCCCCAACCAATCACTGAAAAATAAAACGTAGAAGGTAGAGGTGAATAAAAGAGTTACCTTACAAACCAGAAATTTACTTACAACATTATGTTTATATAGTTACATTACACAAATTAACTTTTTTAAGAATGCAAATATTTTACTAAACTTAGCAACAATTTTAAGTTTTTGTTGTTATTTTTGGTCTACAAGTACTACACAAAGGTTTCCTGGTCATGCTGTCTCTTCAGAGAAGATTTTTCAGACTAGGGGTTTGCTAATAACAGAGAACTCAATCCCATGCTTGTTGGGTCTGTCAATCAGATTTGTTTTGGAGAACGCAGCCCCAGGAGAATAGACACCTCCTTTTTAAGAAAGTGAACTCTTGTCCTTCAAAAGTGCCATGCCAGCCTGGACCATTACAATGGGTGTGGCAACATAGTCAGCCTCTGGCCCCTTCACTTTAGTGGATACTTTAACATCCAGTTTTCCTTAACACAAATAAACTTGAACACTTTTAAAATTAAAAAGAGATTTTTCTGGCTTTCAATTTTGAAAACTCGTGTACTATTATATCTGTTTCCATTTCATCCAACAAGCCATTTTCAATGGCCAAGGTTGCTAGTCCACTCAAGCGCTCTTGACTCAAAGTTGATCTTAAATACGTTTTTATATAGTTTTCTAAGATCTCCAGAGACACTCGCTGGAACACCTCAGCAAGCGAGAGTCCAAAAGTGGCAGGCTCAAACCCAGAACCTCAACCAATGGCTGATACCAAATGAGAGACTCCCCCCTGGGCACACAGAGGACTGGGCGACTTGGAAATGGAAAGGAATCACACAGGATCATATTTTTGCAGTCCATTAAGTGTGTTGATGACAAATCAGATAAAGGGAAATTAATATAAAGCAGTGTGTATAAAGGGACATTACATTTGGTAATCTAATGCAGGCTTTAAAAGGTTTTAAAGATCAAGTCAGGGTCTGCTGCAGTTTTTAGTTTTGGATATGTTTTTTATGGATTTTAACTGAATTTTTTAAATACCAATGATATTTAATTCCATTTTAATGTTTGCATATTTGTGGATTTTAGACTGTACTGAAATGTTTTTAATCTAAGCCAACTTGAGTCTTCTTGGGGAGAGAAAAAGCAGGGTATAAATAAACATAATAATGTGTTGTGGAAGGCTTTCATGGCCAGAATCACTGAGTTGCTGTGAGTTTTCTGGGCTGTATGGCCATGTTCCAGAAGCATTCTCTCCTGACATTTTCCCCACATCTATGGCAGGCAACCTCAGAGGAACAAAATCTGGCTACCAGTACCCTCTAAAATCAGAACAATAAATAAAGAGCAACACTAAAAAAGGGGGAATTCCTGACATGAAGCAATCAGGGCCAGTTAACCGCTCCCAACAAAGGATTCCTGGGCAGCAACTAGCTCGGCTTCGAAGCTGCAAGGCCATTAAATACTCATCAAGATGACCAATTGCAACATTGACACTTACCTCAAGCAGACATGAGTTCTTTTTCCCACCCTGGACATTCCACAGATATACAAACCCCACTTGCCTAGTTACAAACAGACCTCACAGCCTCTTGAGGATGCCTGCCATAGATGTGGGTGAAACATCAGGTGAGAATGCTTCACCAAGCACCAAAGAACATTCTGAGCTCCACCAACAATAGAATTGAACCAAACTTGGCATACAGGACGTCCATGACTAACAGAAAATACTGGAGAGGGGGTTGGGAAAAATAGACCCTGACATTTGGGAATTGCAGTTTACCAAGCACCAAAGAACATTCTGAGCTCCACCAACAATAGAATTGAACCAAACTTGGCATACAGGACTTCCATGACTAACAGAAAATACTGGAGAGGGGGTTGGGAAAAATAGACCCTGACATTTGGGAATTGCAGTTTACCAATCACCAAAGAACATTCTGAGCTCCACCAACAATAGAATTGAACCAAACTTGGCATACAGGACTTCCATGACTAACAGAAAATAATGGAGAGGGGGTTGGGAAAAATAGACCCTGACATTTGGGAATTGCAGTTTACCAAGCACCAAAGAACATTCTGAGCTCCACCAACAATAGAATTGAACCAAACTTGGCATACAGGACTTCCATGACTAACAGAAAATACTGGAGAGGGGGTTGGGAAAAATAGACCCTGACATTTGGGAATTGCAGTTTACCAAGCACCAAAGAACATTCTGAGCTCCACCAACAATAGAATTGAACCAAACTTGGCATATAGGACTTCCATTACCAAATACTAGAGAGGTTTGGGGGAGGCATGTACAAAAGATGACATTTGCAGTACCTTTTGAGGAGGCCTCCTTGCTGCCCTGAGAGGGGTCCAGGCTCAGCTGCAGGGAAGGGAAAGCGAAAGCGAAAGAGCCTGGCTGGCTGCCTCCCTCCTGGCAGCACGTGGAGGGAGGACTTCCCTCTCGCCTAGTGGGCAGGGCCTGCGCTTCTCCATTAGAAGGCTGTTGAGGGCGCATGGGGCCTGCAGGAGGAGGCGTGGCCTAAGGACAAAACAGCGCCCCCTGGCAAAAAAAGTATTCCGCGACCGCTTACTTCGAGTAATGGACGGGCCGGCCCTGCTTGTATACCGCTCTTCTCAGCCATCAGGCAACTCAGAGCGGTTAACAACCAGTATCACAACACAGTACAAAATCATTAATAATTTAAAACAGTAATATCAATCAATTAACATCATAACATCAATACAACAATACAGCAAAACGACAATCCATGTGGACAGTTTCAACAGAAAGGAAGAAACCATGAAAATGAACAAAATCTGGCTACCAGTATTAAAAAAATTCAAACATTACAACAGCAAAACAACAGAGAGTAAACAATCAGGCACATCAAATCACTCTCAACAAAAGATTCCCCCCAGGCACTTCCAAGCCATTAAATGCTAATCAAGGTGGTCAGTTGAAACATTCACACCTAGCTCCAGCAGACAAGAGTCCTTTGTCCCACCCTGGTCATTCCACAGATATATAAACCCATTTTCCTACTTCCAACAGACCTCACTACCTCTGAGGATGCTTGTCATAGATGCAGGTGAAACGTCGTGAGAAAATGCCTCTAGAACATGGCCATATAGCCCGGAAAAACCTACAACAACCAGTGATTCTGCCATGAAAGCCTTTGACAATACATATTCATTGAGATGTCTTCCAAGGGACTTCTTGGATTTGGACAACAGCTGTTTCGTCGGAAAGTAGTAGACTGCACAAGAGAAGAGAGCCGGCTCTCATGGTGTCTCAACACCTTTGACTTGGTGGCTCTTGGTGTCGGCAGTACACTTGGGGCAGGAGTTTACGTTCTTGCTGGGGCAGTTGCTCAAGAAAACTCAGGACTTGCCATTATCATCTCCTTTCTGATTGTTGCACTGGCCTCTGTGCTGGCTGGACTTTGCTAGGGGGAATTTGGTGATAGAGTTCCAAAGACAGGATCAGCATATCTCTAAAGTTATGTAACTATTGCTGAGGTGTGGGCATTCATCACTGGCTGGAACCTGATTCTTTCCTATGTCATTGGAACATGAAGTGTCGCGAGAGCATGGAGAGCAACGTTTGATGAACTAATCGACAGGCATATCGAGAAGTTCTTTCAATAGTACATGTCTATGAATGCTCCTGGTGTGCTGGTGAAATTCCCAGATGTCTTTTCTGTTGTCATTATCCTAAGCCACAGTAGCAGCTTGAAAGGGGGAGGTTTGATATTGTGGGGAGGACGGGCAGGATTGTGTGAATTCACAGAGAACCACTCAAAGAAACAGTTACAGGTAAGCACCCTGTCTCCCTTCTTCAAGGTCTCTGTGAATACACACTTGGGGAGACTAGCAAGCTGTGACTACAGATGGCGGGATAGACATCAAACTGACAGCTGTATGTAAGCCAATGACATTATGTTTATTGCACATTAGCAATAGGAGACATATTGAGAATCTTGAAGCGCAACTTCATAGTAAACTCGACTGTTATCAATAGACAGCCATTAGTGGTAATGGAAAAAACAAACTGTTTACACATTAATTCTTCCTGACAGTGCAGAAGATCAGCAAGCATTTGAGAGCAGTACGTGTGAAAAAGATCTTGGAGTCCTCGTGGACAACAAGTTAAACATGAGCCAACAATGTGATGTGGCGGCAAAAAAAGCCAATGGGATTTTGGCCTGCATCAATAGGAGCATAGTGTCTAGATCTAAGGAAGTTATGCTCCCCATGCTCTATTCTGCTTTGGTTAGACCACATCTGGAATATTGTGTCCAATTCTGGGCACCACAATTCAAGAGAGATATTGACAAGCTGGAATGTGTCCAGAGGAGGGCGACTAAAATGATCAAGGGTCTGGAGAACAAGCCCTATGAGGAGCGGCTTAAGGAGCTGGGCATGTTTAGCCTGAAGAAGAGAAGGCTGAAAGGAGATATGATAGCCATGTATAAATATGTGAGAGGAAGCCACAGGGAGGAGGGAGCAAGCTTGTTTTCTGCTTCCTTGGAGACTAGGACGGAACAATGGCTTCAAACTACAAGAGAGGAGATTCCATCTGAACATTAGGAAGAACTTCCTGACTGTGAGAGCCGTTCAGCAGTGGAACTCTCTGCCCCGGAGTGTGGTGGAGGCTCCTTCTTTGGAAGCTTTTAACAGAGGCTGGATGGCCATCTGTCAGGGGTGATTTGAATGCAATATTCCTGCTTCTTGGCAGAATGGGGTTGGACTGGATGGCCCATGAGGTCTCTTCCAACTCTTTGATTCTATGATTCTATGATTATTATACATAAAAACAACCATTACAAGGCCCCGAGGCCAACAGTAAGTGAAATAATACAGATGCCTTTGAGGAAGGTATGCTGGATTGTTGCAAACAAGAAATCATGTAAATACATTGTGAACCTTGGCACATCCAGAACGTTTTTACATGAATAAACATTATGATGTTGACAACCATGAGTTTGTCCCTGAGTACCCTTTCACCGGGAAGGAATTCTTCTTGGCAGGTGGTTGGACTGGATGGCCCATGATGTCTCTTCCAACTCAATGATTCTATGATTCTATGAATTGTCTATGAGCCTGGTACCAATTTGTATACACAAACACAAAAATAAGTTACATCTACTTTAAAATCACTTGTTCAAAACCATCTCAAAACACCATGCTGGCTCCGGTCAGTGTAGTGGGTTTCCTATTATTGCCATAAAACCACTTGGTCACTGTGAAAAATCACTTCAAATCAAAAATGAATGTAGACATCCATTCTCGGTGAAGCTTTGTCCACACTCCAGGCATGTATAGGGTTAATCCTTAGTGTGAATTCTATGATGTCTATGTAGATGGGAACTCTTAGTAAAGCCCTTTCCACATTCCAGGCATGTATAGGGTTTCTCCCCAGTGTGAGTCCTTTGATGTGAACGTAGACTTCCATTATGAGTGAAGCTCTTTCCACATTCCAGGCATGTATAAGGTTTCTCTCCAGTGTGAGTCCTTTGATGTGAACGTAGACTTCCATTATGAATGAAGCTCTTTCCACACTCCAGGCATGTATAAGGTTTCTCTCCAGCGTGAGTCCTTTGATGTGAATGTAGACTTTCATTTGTAGTGAAACTCTTTCCACACTCCAGGCATGTATAGGGTTTCTCCCCAGTGTGAGTCCTTTGATGTATATGTAGATTTCTATTCATAGTGAAGCTCTTTCCACACTCCAGGCATGTATAGGGTTTCTCCCCAGTGTGAGTCCTTTGATGAATACGTAGATTTCCATTCATAGTGAAGCTCTTTCCACACTCCAGGCATGTATAGGGTTTCTTCCCAGTGTGAGTCCTTTGATGTATATGTAGATTTCCATTCATAGTGAAGCTCTGTCCACACTCCATGCATTTATAGGGTCTCTCCCCAGTGTGTGTCCTTTGATGTGAACGTAGATCAGAACTTCGAGTGAAGCACTGTCCACACTCCAGGCATGTATAGGGTTTCTCCCCTGTGTGAATCCTTTGATGCAAATGTAGACTTCCATTCTTAGTGAAGGTCTGTCCACACTCAAAGCATTTATAGGGTTTCTCCCCAGTGTGAGTCCTTTGATGCGAATGTAAGTGTGCATTCTGTTTGAAGCTCTTTCCACACTCCAAGCATGTATAAGGTTTCTCCCCAGTGTGAGTCCTTTCATGTGTACGTAGATATGAACTCTTAATAAAACTTTTTCTGCATTCTAGGCAGGTATAGGGTTTCTCCCCAGTGTGAGTCCTTTGATGTGAACGTAGATATGAACTGCGAGTGAAGCTCTTACCACATTCTAGGCAGGTATAGGGTTTCTCTCCTGTATGAATCCTTTGATGTGAACGTAGTTCTGAACTGCGAGTGAAGCTCTGTTCACACTCCAGGCATGTATAGGGTTTCTCCCCAGTATGAGTCCTTTGATGTGAATGTAATTCTGAACTTGAAGTGAAGCTTTGTCCACACTCCAGGCATGTATAGGGTCTCTCTCCAGTGTGAATCCTTTGATGCGAACGTAGACTTCCATTCTCAGTGAAGCTCTGTCCACACTCCAAGCATTTATAGGGTTTCTCCCCAGTGTGAGTCCTTTGATGTCTATGTAGACCTGAACTATGAGTGAAGCCCTTTCCACATTCTAGACACATATAGGGTTTCTCCCCAGTGTGAGTCCTTTGATGTGAACGCAGATTTCCTCTCTCCGTGAAACTCTTTCCACACTCCAGGCATGTATAGGGTTTCTCCCCAGTGTGAATCCTTTGATGTGAATGTAGACTTGAACTCCGAGTGAAGTTCTGTCCACATTCCAGGCATGTATAGGGTTTCTCCCCAGTATGGGTCCTTTGATGTGAACATAGATCCGAACTCCAAGTGAAGCTCTGTCCACACTCCAAGCAAGAATAGGGTTTTTCCCCAGTGTGAATCCTTTGATGTAAATATAGAGTTGAACTCCGAGTGAAACTCTGTCCACACTCCAGGCATGCATAAGGTTTCTCCCCAGTGTGAGTCCTTTGATGTGAATGTAGACCTGAACTATAAGTGAAGCTCTGTCCACACTCCAGGCATTTAGATGCTTTCTCCGACATGTTGAATTTCTCCTCCATGTTGAATTGCAGTAAAGATACTTGGCTTTTCTTTTTTCCTTTCTTATCTGTCAGTGAGGTCAAGATTTCAGCAAAATCATCACCTTGAGAGGAGTTCTACTTCCTATATTATTGGTTTCCTCATTGCACCCAAGAGTTGACTCCATTGAATCCTCACTTTCCTGGTTAAGAAAAAGAAGCAAAAGAACAAAGGTGAAAGCCAGAAATGTTCTTTACCTGCAAGCTGTCCCCTCTTTCCCTTGATGGGTCATGTTGAAAATGGGAATACTAAGTAATGCAGACATCATGGTCTCAAGCACATACACATACTCTAGCAAAGGCAATAACTGATTCTTAAAGAAGAAGGGGATGGGTTCAGAAAAAATAGAATAAAAAGAAAGGAGGGAGGGGAAAAAGAAAAAAATGATGGAAGAATGGGAACTCCTTCTAATACTCGAGGATCACACTGATTTCAAGGGGGGTTGAACACTAAAGAAATGAAAGCAGGTAGACAGGCAGAAAGGGCCCGGCTTTAGCACAGCAGGTTAATCCCATCTTTCGGCATCTTTGGAGGCTGTGCTCAGTTCCGGCCCAGGGGGTGATGTTGCTCCATCGCCTTACTGAAGAGCTTTCTTTGTTCGTAAACTTTCCTCCAATTTCTGATCGAAACGTCGTGACTAAAATACCTCCCCGCTTAATGCAGTTCCTATTTTATCTACTCACATTGCTGTCTTTGATCCTCTAGGTGGGCGGGGAGCTGGGCTTCGAACTGTCAACCTTTCGGTTGGCAAGATTTATTGCAGCTGCAGCTAGGGGAAGAGCCTATATAATACCTCTATCTGTTGTCTGTCTTGTCATTGTATAACCAGCATTGAATGTTTGCTATATATGTGTTCTGTGATCCGAACTAAGTCCCCTTCAGGATGAGAAGGGTGGAATATAAATACTGTAAATAAAATAAATAAACGATGCTTTCTAATATTAAAGAGAGTCACTCACTGTATAATGGGTTTCTCTGAATTACCAGGAGGTACTAAATGCTGAGGGACATCAAGATTACGGTGCTGTCCCCCACCCAACAATGAGTCCCAGGACTGCTTCCTGAGCATTCCAAATTAGATGCCTGATGCCATCAAAACTCCTGTCTTTTTCCAAAGGAATCTTGCAGTCAACCATGGCTCTGCCTCCCCACTCATCTAATTCAAAACCACATTGTGACTTCAGCTTTAAATACCTGGTTGCACACTTCTCATATAATGGTGTGCAGAAGTTATTGATACTGTGTATATGTTTAACTGTTAGAATATATTCGTGTTGGTAACAGTAGCTGAAGCTAGAGCTAACTGGTTGTATTCACAGTGGCGTTGCCAAGGAGACCAGGCAAGAGAGTGAGAAGTGGGCGGAGCCTAGCAAGAAAATGTTATCTGCGTTTTGAAAAGAAGCAGTTCAGTTGGGAATTAGCAGTCGGAGTTAGCAGTGGAGAGTGGAGAGTGGAGAGTGGAGAAGCAGTGTGTGCGAATAGCCAGAGGTTTCTTCAGTCTAGGAAGGCTGAAGGGAGAAACCTAAATAGTTTCTTTAGTCAGGACTAAGGGAAGCTTGTTTAGATCACTAGTTAGGAAAGAACTAGAGATCTAGGATTTGATCATGAAGAGATCAAATTGGAAGGCTATTCACATTAGGAAACATTGTTTAATAAAGTGCTTCACCACAGTAAAAGTCAATCACAAGTTGTGTCATCGAGAAGAGTGAACTGTATTGCAAACCAAGTTACATTCAAAGTTCTATAAGTTATTCCAAGTTATTTAACAGCCTGCAACCATACGCTTTGTACAAAATAAACTTATTAACTTTTTTTGAAGACCGTGTCATCTCCATTAATCTGTGTCTGGGGAACCAGTTCTCATCGGCAATACCTCACGTTGGTGGCAGTTACCTTAATTACATCTATAATCATCCACACCTGTATAATTGGTGGCAAAATTTAAGAACAGACTGTGCAATTGGTGACAGAGGGTGGGTTCTTTAAAGTTAAATACCCTATACCCTGTCTGTTGTTGGAATTGCAGCACCTTCGCAATTAGCACAATTGTACAACTGGTGCGAGCAGAGGCTTCGCAAATTTAGTGTCAGAGGTGTAGCGTCTTCGCAAATGGTAACTGAAAAGGACATATAGAAGCAGCCAAAATATCCACTTGGAGGTCAGTAAAATCAATTCTAGCCTTTGAGAAAACAAGGGGGGGGGGCTCTCTGGTATGTCCCACAATTAAAAAATTTACCACTAAAATTCTACCACAATTACTATATGGAGCAGAAATATGGGGACAGTGTAATGCAAAGCAGGTTGAGTGTATTCAGAATAAGTTTGTAAGAACTCTTTTAGCCCTTTCCCCAGGATACCATTTGTTTTATTATGGCTTGAATTGGATCTTTCCTCACTTAAGTCTAGAATACATAAGCTCAATATCTCATACAGGAGAAGACTTTTGGAAATGGAGGATGAGAGTATAACACAGCCATGCTTGATGGAGCAATACAAGCAGAGAGGCTGGGCTCAATACTGGTTGCCCTGCGCCAGTATTTTGACGGGTCAACAAATCCCTTTTTCAGTAGAATAAAAAGACGATTAGAGGAAAAAATCTTTGAGATGGATGAATCTGACAACTTGCGGGCTAGTTGTTGTATCTCAGGCTAAAATTCACCTTGCTTTCTCTGACAAACCAGCCAAACTTATGAAGAAAGAAGTTTATTGTGAAGTTTCAAACAAATCAGAATATAAGCAGTATAAAGTCCATAGTATAAGGTAAAAATCCAATAGATTCCCTTTGAGTCAAAGCAGGAAACTTGAAGCAAGAAGCAGCATATAATCCAGGAAATAGCATGAGGTTACATGAAGCAGGCTTTCTTCCCCAAGGCCCAAGCCCCAGAGCAAGAGACAAAGCGAGCCATTTTTGCAACGTTGAAACTGACGCCGAATCAGTTCCCAGGCAGTTTACTTATAGGTAAAACATCAAAACATTGAACATTAAACAGACAGCTAACAAGCAGTTTTCCCACCAACGGATGGGCTCAAGACTTGGCCGCAATTCGTAAACTCCTTCTTAACACCTGCGGCACAGTCTGACCTTCACTAGCTGTTTTATCAGCCACATTCCGTTCCTGTGATAACAATGGTTTCTCTCTAGCTACAGACTGTGGCTGAGAAAACTGAGAAATCTGAAATCCCACACCTGCATCTGTATTCCCATTCTCATCATACTCATCTGCACTCTCAGTCCCATCATGCTGTTGCTGCTGAACCACAACACTAGTAAACAGCAGGGTTTCGCTATTTGGTATATCCTAATAAAGGGTGATGGCCGAAAGCGAGGAGGAGCTGAGGAGCCTTCTAATCAAGGTGAAAGAAGAAAGCGCAAAAGCCGGGTTGCAGCTAAACGTAAAAAAAAACCAAGATTATGGCAACAAGAATGATTGACAACTGGAAAATAGAGGGAGAAACCGTGGAGGCCGTGACAGACTTTGTATTTCTAGGTGCAAAGATTACTGCAGATGCAGACTGTAGCCAGGAAATCAGAAGACGCTTACTTCTTGGGAGGAGAGCAATGTCCAATCTCAATAAAATCGTAGAGAGTAGAGACATCAGATTGGCAACCAAGATCCATTGCCTAGTCAAAGCCATGGTCTTCCCTGTAGTCACCTACGGATGTGAGAGCTGGACCTTAGGGAAGGCTGAGCAAAGGAAGATCGATGCTTTTGAGCTGTGGTGTTGGAGGAAAGTTCTGAGAGTGCCTTGGACTGCGAGAAGATCCATCCAGTCCATACTTCAGGAAATAAAGCCCGACTGCTCATTGGAGGAAAGGATATTAGAGACAAAGATGAAGTACTTTGGCCACATCATGAGGAGACAGGAAAGCTTAGAGAAGATGCTGGGGAAAATGGAAGGAAAAAGAAGAGGGGCCGACCAAGGGCAAGATGGATGGATGGCATCCTTGAAGTGACTGGACTGACCTTGAGGGAGCTGGGGGTGGTAACGGCCGACAGGGAGCTCTGGCGTGGGCTGGTCCATGAGGTCACGAAGAGTCGGAGACGACTGAACGAGTGAACAACAACAACAAAATAAAGGGTGACCAATGTTACGCAGCACGTGTTTCAACCCAACGTCCCAGCGCCCAAAACCCAAATGCAAAAACTCTCAGACCAATAGTCAAAGAGAACAGAAAATCTTTACTTTGCATAGATGAAGCAAAACTGGCATTGTTGCATATGAAAATCAGTAGTGCAACATATTTACACAGTCTTTGTAATAAACATAAAATAAAGCATCTTCATCTTACAGCAAATGGGAAATCAACCTGAAGTAAAAAGCTATTTCACCATCAGCATCCCCTGCTGAAACTCCACGCTGGTGAAACAGAACTCCAGCAGCAGCCCACCAGAAGTCCAGCACCCACCACAATGTATTAAAATAACTCAAACAGTTATAGCCCCTTGGGTGTGGTACAAGATTGCTAGTTGACCTACTTAGCCAGCTGAGCAAGATAATTACATACAATAAGGTTTTTCTTTATACACACTCATATGGTCCTGCAAGGACTTAGTGTAGCAACCTATACTGTCAACAATATCTTCAAGACTTAACGTCTGTAGTCCTCAGGAAAGCATTTACAGCCCTGTGCTTCCAGACAAAGCCATCAGGCTGGCTAGAGGGGAGGTACAGAGGGATAGAATCATAGAATCATAGAATCATAGAGTTGGAAGAGACCTCATGGGCCATCCAGTCCAACCCCATTCTGCCAAGAAGCAGGAATATTGCATTCAAATCACCCCTGACAGATGGCCATCCAGCCTCTGTTTAAAAGCTTCCAAAGAAGGAGCCTCCACCACACTCCGGGGCAGAGAGTTCCACTGCTGAACGGCTCTCACAGTCAGGAAGTTCTTCCTCATGTTCAGATGGAATCTCCTTTCTTGTAGTTTGAAGCCATTGTTCCGCATTCTAGTCTCCAGGGAAGCAGAAAACAAGCTTGCTCCCTCCTCCCTGTGGCTTCCTCTCACATATTTATACATGGCTATCATATCTCCTCTCAGCCTTCTCTTCTTCAGGCTAAACATGCCCAGTTCCTTAAGCCGCTCCTCATAGGGCTTGTTCTCCAGACCCTTGATCATTTTAGTCGCCCTCCTCTGGACA